TCTACTCTTGGTACTATGCATGTACTTTTCTACCATGCCTAGTTGCAATTGACCAATCAGATTTTTAGGTTCATAAATAACTTATTTACCACTGGGAGGTTTGATAAGTAATTTTCCCAGACAGTTGGAGGTTAATAAGTGTCCCGGGAGGTTGATAGGTTTGCCCAGGAAATTACTTATTAAGTTTAACTTCCTGCTTAATAGGAATGCTGTTGCCAAGTGTTGCTAAGTACATGGTAGAAGTTCGTTATACAACTCTGTGCCAGTATCTATGGCTTTATCATACCTCAGGCCTACTCGGTATGATAAATACCATAGATACCTCCACCTCGTTGTATAACCTTTACATAAACAGTAAATGACTATACAACCATACAATGCCTATACCGTATAGGGGTTTTATTTTGTTGGTATTAAATTTCACGAATTTGTCCAGATTTGCCATTTTTTGGTACAAATTTTCGCGAATCCTACCTTCTGCAGCCATTTTCCCTAGTGTCCCACACCTCTTTTGTGGAATTTAATTTTGCAAATTTAATGAAAATGCGAAATTCGCGAAATTTATTTCCAGTGAAATATGATCCTTATACGGTAGTACTCATTGCCATGAATGTATCTTATCTCCTAACACTCTCCAGTGTGTTTATACTGAAGAGAGAGAGAGAGAGGTTAGTGACTAATGATAATGTACTTGTCACCATAGGCTATACATTGACAGTTGTAGTATTATTGAACAGGATGAATGAGTGTAGTAGCTATGGTTGTATGGTGTTACTAAAGTTGGCAAGACACGTTGCAGTACGGCAAGATTGACATGTACATGTTTCTATCACATGTACATATTCAAACAATGGACCATTGTCATGTTTACCGGGCAATCATTTACTTGCATGTTATATTCATTATAATAATAATGTAGTTTTTTTAAATGCACGTGCACACTAACCGACAATTGCAACAAAATAAAAGAAAGGTTTTACTAGTGACAACCAAGTTCACTATTATAGTCTTAACAGTATAATCGTTATTTTACTAAGAAAAGGGAATTCACTGAGTAACAGACCCATTCCTCTTATAGTGTGTGTACTGTGTAGGTATATGAAGTATCAATTTGCTATAGATGAAGTAGTACTATCACTATAGAGTCTATTCATAGCTATTTGCACTATGCATTATTAATCATATCATAGTTACCTTGAATGTATCTAACTAAAGAGAGAGAGAGGATGGTGACTATTGATAATGTACTTGTCACCATAGGCTATACATTGACAGTTGTAGTAATATTGGACAGAATGAATGAGTGTAGTAGCTATGGTTGTATGGTGTTGCTAAAGTTGGCAAGACACGTTGCAGTACGATAAGATTGACATGTACATGTTTCTATCACATGTACATATTCAAACAATGGACCATTGTCATGTTTACCAGGCAATCATTTACTTTTGTGTTATATTCATTATAATAATAATGTAGTTTTTAATGCATGTGCACACTAACTGACAATTGCAACAAAATAAAAGAAAGGTTTTACTAGTGAAAATCAAGTTCATTATTATAGTCTTAACAGTATAATTGTTATTTTACTAAGAAAAGGGACTTCACTGAGTAACAGACCCATTCCTCTTATAGTGTGTGTACTGTGTAGATACATAAAGTATCAATTTGCTATAGATGAAGTAGTACTATCACTATAGAGTCTATTCCCAGCTACTGGCACCATGCATTATTAATCATATCATAGTTGCCTTAAATGTATCTAACTAAAGAGAGAGAGAGAGGTTAGTGACTAATGACAATGTCCTTGTCACCATAGGCTATACATTGACAGTTGTAGTAATATTGGACAGGATGAATGAGTGTAGTAGCTATGGTTGTACGGTGTGACTAAAGTTGGCAAGACATCTTGCAGTTCGATAAGATTGACATGTACATGTTTCTATCACATGTACATATTCAAACAATGGACCATTGTCATCAGTAGCCAGTATCTATATAAAGAGGTACATACTGACTGGAATAGTCATTCATCTTATCATATACTAAAGGTCATATAAGAGACTATACTAGATATCAGCTACTGAATGATGAATACTTTCCAGTGTTTGGTCCTTTTTGCTGCTATTGGATTCATGATTACTGCAACTACTGCGGCTGGTTTAGGGCCGTTTCCATGCTATCCTCATTATTACTGTGAGGGGACTAATACAACTTCCGTAAGTTCAGTGATACATCATACTATACCATCATGATAATAATCATGTGAAGTGGACTAGTCAAAAAAACAGCCTAACAGCTGTACATACAATAATACATTGGAGATCCTTATGGAGTTTGTCATAATTTTCCAAGCAAAGCCTATAGTTCACTAGCTATACACATGCAGTGATAATTATTTTCTTTCATTTATAGGCTGAAATATGCTGTGACATTCCTGGGATCAAATCCTTTATGGGAATTGACCCTTGGACACTTGATCCCCTCTGCACCAATTGCAAGGCCTGAGAGAAAGAAGCTCTGAAAAGGAAAGACTCTGTACTTTCAATTAATAAATAAACATTAACTAACAATAAATAAATAATTATATAACATAATCTTAAGTATTTCAGATCTGATAATAAAGTTACATTAAAAACAAATTCTTGTTAATTTTTGATGGATACAGCTACTGACCATAAATTAAAATCATTGACTGTACCACACTGTACATGTACATGTACATAGCCAGACACTAATTTTGAACAAGACACTATACTAGGGTCACACTGACTTTTCCACTCATTATAAATTCAACCTTGATAGGTCATCATTTAAGTAGCTGCCAATTATGAATAAGTGTTTGTTAAGTATTTGTTTATTTTAATGTTTACCACTAAGAATGTAATTAAAAAGTACAGTACATTTGTAATTATTATTAAAACCAAAAGTATATGAAAATAAGAGATAAAAAATAGTCAAACGGCCTTGTCAGTTGCAGCCACGATATGATAGAGAAAGGCCGAGTTTTGGGTGGCATCTATCTGACTGGTGGAATCGCTCATCTAATCAGGTTCATCACTGGATTCACAACTGACATGAGTAACAAATAAACTCAGACACACTAAGTCTTGCTTGTACATGAAGCCTATCATTCTGCCAGTAGTGGTCCTCAAAGAAGAGAAAACCAGGCTGTGTGGCTGAACGGGCAGTGTTTGAACAGTCTCATTGTCTTAAAACAAAATGACTTACTTCTAGCGTATGCTGTCCTCTTAAACGTTGCCTATAATTATTGTCTTCGCCTGTGATTTCAGTCATATTCCTTGTCCTTTTCGTCTTATTTCCTTCCCATTCCCTCTGCTGTTGAATCGCTGCCATTCTTCTTCCAGTCAGTTTACTGCCCACGTGTTTACAAAGTGTAGGTGGTAGTAATGGCGTAAATACTTGCTAAGTGGCCGCGTGCTTTGATTTTTTTTCACTTTGACAAGCTTCCTTCTACTATTATCTTATATCAAAAGAACCGAAAATCCAAGCATTGCACAACAGTGAAACACCGCCGTTTATAGCACTTAAAATAAGAAAGTTATTCAAAATTTAAAATGGCAAAGTCAGTGTGGCCCTACTATAATGCGTGTTCTTTATTCCCTTCACTTGTTATTCAGACATCATTGTAATTTGGACTGACACTTCAACTGTTGAATATAGTCTACTCAGCTTCAAACCAAACACTATAGTGTGAAAACTACAAGTATCCATTCACAAGTTGCCAGACACTTGAATAGGTGCATAGTATACTGAATAGGTCATTAGTGCTAATGAGTCTACCTACTTCACAATACAAGACACCTACGGTGCTTGGACTCGCTGCAGTTCATCTTGTATCAACACTGCATTGTTAAAACTGAGCAATGGATTGTGATTCACGACAGAAAAAGCACCGTGATGTATACAAAGAACTAGTAAATCATGGTCTGCATGGGCAGCTATAACCATACATTGACTCTATGGTTTAATTAGTATGAACATTTTACTGGAAATAACTTTTTTGCTAATTTTACATTTTCATCACATCCATGAAACTAAATTCCACAAAAGAGGTGTGGCACACTAGGAAAAATGGCTATAGAAGGCAATTAAGATTCGCAAAAATTTATACCAACAAATGGCAAATCTGGACAAAATCGCAAAATTTTATACCAACAAAATAAACCCGTGCACAGTAGTGTGAGAGTACATGTATGCGTTGTAGTGATTGCATGTCTACCTTTTAATGAAGGATTTGTCTTGGACTGCTGGTACACAAACTGGAGGAGCAACACTGTATTTATTGGATCTTCTTGACACTGTAGTGTAGGAGGAGCTGGCTATACTCAGTCTATCATCATCCAGTCCTAATAGCTAATGGAATAAAGGACTAAAAAATAGCCTTATTGAGAAAATGTAATTAAAATTTGGAGTGATTTTGGAGCCAATTTCAGAATAAACCATGGGCTATAGCCTTGGGTAATTTTCTGAATTTTGTCATTTTCTTAAAATGGCCATAACTTGAAAAATTGAAGTCGGAATAACATCAAACTTGCTACACAGCATAAGGACATCAATATGTATCAGAAAATGTAATTAAAAATTGGGGGTGAATTTGGAGGCATTTTTTGGAAAAAACCATGGGCTATAGCCTTGGGTATTTTTCAAAATTTATTTATAGCATATCCCTTACTGATGATTGTTCATCAGTGCATTGCTTCCCATTAAGGAGCAGGTATACACATCTCTCAACTAGCGAGGCCTTGTCTTCATCAGATAATGTCAGCTCAATGTATTCGGGTACCATCATGTCCGGCTGGAGTGCGTGTAAGTCGTGAAGTCTCTGCCTTAAATGTAACATGTGCCTTAACTTTTCACTCTAAAAATACAAAAAATAATAACAATAACAATAATAATAATAATAATAATAATAATAATAATAATAATAATAATAATAATAATAATAATAATAATAAATGTATAGATATGTACAGCAAAACAATAGATATCAAAAATTAAAAAAAGAATGTACTGCAATTTTAAAAGTTTTTGACTGCATAGCAAAGCTAGACAGCAATTAATAAATTAATTGTATGTCTGTACCTCTTCTATCATTCTCAATTTCTGGACTAGTTCCCCGTGATCCTTTATCAACGAGTTCCTTCTTAACCTTTTTGCACGTCTTCCACCTTCATCGTATAATGGATCAATCTCACCCGATAACTGATGCTCTATTAAAAGAAATATTAATAATAATAATAAACTTATTTTGTTATTATTAGTATAAACTGACCTGGAGTTTTGTCCATTGTCTTACGTAGAGACACATCAAATATGCTGACAGTTCTATAACTAATAAAATAATAATAATAATAATAATAATGATTATATTCGTTTAATTACAAGTTTAAGAAAAAAGAAAAAGAGAGAGAGAGAACAATCACACAACCCACAAAAACACTAAGTAAATTTGTAATAATATTCATACATGTCTTTGGTATAAATACACTCACTTCTCTGGGTTTGATTTATTTCCTCCAGTAAAGAAACTGAAGAATGATTTGGATGGTTGTGGTTTAGAATCTCGACCAAATATCCTTAGAGTGATGTCCTTAGTGAAACAAGCAGGTTGTGAGCCATTGTCAAACTATAATAGAAATACATGAATGTGATTGATGTATTAATGGTATTTTATATTATACTAATGGCATTACCTCAATATAAACTGATAGAGCTATGTATACATATTCTCCTGATGGTGTAATCCTAATGGTAAAATAATTAAATAAAAGTTATTAATAATTATTATTTATGTTTGTACCTATTCAATAGAATATTCTCATGTAACGAACTATCCCAAGCAGTTTCAATACAGTAACACAACCTGAAATAAATTAATAACTATCAATAACTATTAATAATTAGCATTAATTAACCACTAAAGTACATTGCAATTACAACTTACATTCCGTCACTGTCTGGTCCATGCAATGATGGAGTGAAAGAGCTAAGAGACAGAACTTGATTAGAATCATCAATCACTTCATTTTCGTTACTCCTCACACGACCTAAGACAACACAACATAACAATGTACTTCTAAATTTAAAAAGAAAATTACGTACATGTACTTTTACATGTACATGTACATGTAAAAGTACATATAAAAGTACATGTACAAGTACATGTAGTAACATTAATAATAATGATACATTTACATACTATTATGAAAGTGAACAGGCATACATATACATGTACATGTAAAGCAAACATTATTTATTTTAAAGACACATATTGCCTCAAGGCGTATTATCATTACCAATAGCAATTTCATTGACTTTGCTCCAGTAGAGTTCAGACCCTGCTTCATACAATAGGCTCATTCTAATCCTCCTTTGAATCCCTTGAGACAAGAGGAAACAAGATATATCATTGGAGTGATCCACTGGAACACCTTTATACCTAATCATAATAACAACAACAACAACAATAATAATAATAATAACAATAAATAAATAAATAAATAAATGCAATCATAATAATAATACTAATGTAAATAATAATAATAATAATAATAATAATAATAATAATAATAATAATAATAATAATAATATTAATAGCTATAGCTTACTCTCCATTAGGCGTTAGTTCCAATATCTCCAAATGAAATAAAACATCAACTTCAGCAAAAGAATGCATTGAACTACAAATGTACATGTATACAATAATAATAATATAAGATAATTCAAAATACTATCAGTTACCCTGCTGTGTCATATAAAGGAGTCATTAGTGAACGAACTACAAAAAAGAAAAGCAAAAAATCAATTTTATAATCTCTGCATTTACTCACCTGGTGATGGTCTCTTCTGCATGCTTGGTGACAGATTAAAGTCGCTCTTTCTCCTCCCAGTGGAGGATGAAGGATTGTCAGGAAACTGTTGATAGTGTCCAAACACTTCAAGTATCAACGGGTAATGCCTCAGGTAGTGTATTAGCTGGTCATTAACATTAACACTGAACTATAGTAGTAAGAATAATTATTAATAAAGTTTATGAGTGATGTGTTTTACTAACGTTTTGCATGTGATAAAAGCCAAGGGCTAGTTCTTGATGATCATTGTGAAGTGGAGGAGTAGAGAATACTCTCTCGGTCTTACTGAGAAACCTAGGAATAATAATTATTAATAATAATGTTCATCAATTTATTATCAAACATGCCAGATAATTTTTATATTGGCTGTAACTTGAGAAATTTAAGTCGGAATCAGCTCAAACTTTCTGCATAGCATAAGGACATCAATATGTATTAGAAAATGTAATAAAAATTGGGGGTGATTTTTTAGCCATTTTTTGGAAAAAACCATGGGCTATAATATAGCCTTGGGTATTTTTCAGATTTTGGCAAATTTCTTAAAATGGCTGTAACTTAAAAAATTTAAGTCGGAATTGGCTCAAACTTTCTACATAGCATAAAGACATCAATATGTATTAGAAAATGTAATAAAAATTGGGGGTGATTTTTTAGCCATTTTTCGGGAAAAAACCATGGGATATAGTACAGGGTATTTTTTAGATTTTGGCTCATTTTTTAAATGCTCATAAATTGAAAAATTTAAGTCGGAATCGGCTCAAACTTTCTGTATAGCATAAGGACGTGAAAATGTATTTTTTAAAATGTACTAAAAATTGTGAGTCCTATTAAATAAAAACTAATTTTCCCCATCCTTACTTGTATTGTACAAAGACATCAGAGAATTCTCTTGGTATACCAGTGGCCTGTATTACAGTCACTCTGAAATAAAACTTTTCCTTCCCATTACCAAAACAATCGGAAGAAGGAACAAGGTCTTTAACAAACTAAAAAATAAATAATACGAGCAGAATCATACAATTGCATATAACATGTATCAGTAATTATAATAATAACAATAATAATATGATGATAATAATAATAATAATAATAATAATAATAATAATAATAATAATAATAATAATAATAATAATAATAAATCTTCAAAAAGAAAAGATCAAGTAGGATTCACTTTGCGCTAACTTGTCAAAAAAGTAATGAAAACAAGGACGAGTAGGATTTCAAATAACCAACAAAAGTAAGAAATGAAAATCCTACTCTCGTGATGCAAATTCTACTCTACATCACAAGGTGATTTGTAATTTCTTGTATAATAACATTGAAAGTACAATGTAGAGTAGAATTTGCGCCACGAGAGTAGGATTTTATTATTTAAATCTATGGAGTAAGGCCCTGTTTACACAATAACCCACTTCACTGTATCAGGATTGTTTTTGCTATTATTCATTTCAGGTGTTTATACTAATCCAGCAGCTGGATTTTCATAAGATTTATCATTCATTTATAGGAAGTATCCACTTGGTATTCGTTTACATTTTGCTTAAGATAAGTGATGCATATTCATGTATTAGTGTAAACAGAAGCTGTATCAGAATCAAAAAGTATTCGTTTACATGTGAAAATGGATCAGTGCCTAATAGTTGAGTCTTCAACTTATCATGAACAAAAAGAAGTAGCTCTAACTAATAGTGTATAGTATAATTAAGCATTTTATGTCAATGAATGTCTAGAATTCCATTTTGTACAAGTACAAATCACACAAGTTGTAGAGCAATCCCACCTGTCTAAGTAAAAATACCGTATAGCTCCAAATTTTCGTCGGTCAAAATTTTTGTCAAATTCGTCAGGTACTTTTGCTTGACAAAATTTTTAACCAACAAAAATTTTTGCATATGAATCCATCACCCATAGATACTGTAGGGCGCCTTTTCTGAGGGCTATATATTTTGTGGATTTCGCGTATTTTGTTGCAAAAATAAACACCTCAAATTAATTGTATGGGTGTGGAAATTCAAATTGGGGATAAAAATCAAAAAATTTAATAGAGTGAAATATACAGTATATATCTGCTAAATTTACATCCCTCAAAAAAGGCACCCTACGGTATTAAATAATTGATTCACCTAACAAGAGAGTCCAAAACATTAAGTGAAAAGGAGCAAATTATTAATGGCTGATACTTGACAATGCATTCTGCAATTATGTTCCAAAAGAAGAGGAGATATATAACTAGAAGACAGGAGCATTCTGTAATATTTCTAATAGTACGTGCTAAAAATTATTCAATATGACAGCTATATTGCAAGTTAACTGATTTGAAAGGAGTTAGTGACATTAGATTCCATCTACAAAGTGAGTTTAGCCAATGCCTGTACTAAATTCCTAACGACAACTCAGTCAACAAGATTTACATATTTGGAGAGTTTGAGCTGCCAGCTTACACTACCATATAGCTTGATATTTTCGTGGGTCGATATTTTCGTGGTTTGCTCCTAGTGGGGCAATTCATGGTTTAATTTTCGTGGTTGACAGTTTACATAGCCTGTAAGGGGATGGCACTTCAATGATTTTGTGGGTTTAAATTTCGTGGGTTTAAATTTCGTGGGCAGCCCATAACCACGAAAACCACAAAATTTATATTCCATGAAAATTTTAAGCTATACGGTATATCAGCAAGTTTACCATAGCAGTGTATGTTAGTAGAAGCAAGAGTATGTCTCTCCTGTTAGTGGTTGTTCTCTTATTCTTCAGTAGCTCCTGCAGTGTCTCCTCTGGTCAGTATTATGTGTCTGATGACTGCAGTTCAGTTACTCAGTCACCTTGTAATCCTTTATCAGTGTATGCTGGGGATATGTCTCAATACAATAACAGCATCTTCTACTTCATTGGAACCAGTGACATTAATGATGATGTTAAAATGACTGCAGTAAGGAATGTTACTCTACATGGACTGGATCAGTCTTGTCTTATTAGTAGCAGGAGTAAGAAAAGGTACATTCACATCTATAACAGCAATCATGTTGTTTTTTCTAACATGTCAGTTTATCATCTTTTAGTCATTGCTAAATCATCCAACAACATTACAATAACTAACTCTTTATTTAATAAAATAAGTCCTAACAAGGGAGATATTTCCATAAAATTAAGCAACGTTTTTGATATTAAAGTATCATCCTCAGTTTTTGTTCATCATATTGCAGCTATTACATACGAGCCTCTTCCAGTATGTAGCACTGAACTACCTCATTACTCACTAATAATGACTAATGTTACATTATTCAAATACAGTGGGATAGAAGTATTTGCTACTCATGGAACCTCATACAATCTGTCAGTTGTCTTTGATACCTTTTATAATATGCTTCATAGTCACTCTAGATTTGTTTTGGGTGAGTGTCTTTTTTCTTTTTATATTAAGAATGCATCATTTCGATCAGTATTTTATCATTACAACGTCTTTTCTATTGAACTAAGTGAAAACCTGAAATCAAATAAGTGTGAATTTCATGGCATCCAACTAATTTCTACTTTTGTAATTGAGGACAGTCAATTTCTTGATAATATGCATGGACCTAGGATACATAAAGATGTATACTCACCCAGAGCACTTAGGAATCACTTTATTAGTATCATTATTAAGTCCTGTTTGATATCTAACAGCAAAAGTACAGGCTTTTCTATTGATGTAAAATTCTTGAAATCAATCCAAATCAATATAACAGATACTGAATTTATTGAAAATGCAGCAACTATGATATTAAACAGTGATTCTGTTAGTCTCAGTAATGTTACTATTGCTAAAGTTTTCTCAACAGGTTTGACACTTAAAACATCAATAGTAACAATTGAGAATAAATTGACATTTAAAAATAATGCTGGAGTAGTTGGAGGAGGATTAGCAATAAATGACTCATCACAATTGATATTAACACCATCAGCTAACTTAAAGTTTATTGATAACCATGCTTCTTATAAAGGTGGAGGGATCTATGTTGAAGAGACGTCAAATAGTGGCATAATATTAGAGGCACCAAATATACCTCTTACATTAATAAACAATAGTGCTGGAATATTTGGTGATGATATATATGGATATACTAATCATGGAAGCAATCGTTTCCACTTGACAAACCCAAATATTAGTTCAACGGGTGATGTATTGCAAATTCAGTTATGCAACTTTTCTAATTTAAAAAATCCAAGTTACGAACAAATTTATCCAGGTCAAGCACTAAAATTTTATATAGCTTTGCTTGGTTATGATTACTTTGGATCACTAAATTTCACTGATGGTACATTGGCAATACGTGATGGCAGAGCTCATGTCGATCATGTATATGTTAGACCTAACCCTAATTGTTCACTGGTTGAATACAAACCAAACTGTCCTCCCAGTCATGTAAAACATGGCTTGGTAATTCGTACTAAAATATCCTATAAAATATCCCATTCCATTCATAGGTATTATATTGTTAATGAATGTCCTATTGGTTTCAGTATAGATAGCTCACAAGGTGGATTTATCTGTGCTTGCAGTCAAAGTGTTTCAAGAGAGAATGTGACGTGTAATATAACTAGTCTAAACATTACACACAATGGTCTACTGTGGATTGGAACATATCATACCAGTACACCTTTCAATGCTAATGCAACCAATCCTAATGCATACATTATCAATGAGGACTGTCTCCTCTATTGTTCTCCTAATCCTGTTACCTTTCAGTTGAATCACACTGATACTCAATGTGTGGATAATAGAGGACACAGAATGTGTGGATCATGTACAAAGGGATACAGTCTACTAATGGGATCAAACAAGTGTGGACAGTGTCATGATAATTACATGATGATAGCTTGGATTGCTCTGTTTGCAGTGATGGGTGTACTGCTTGTGGTTCTTCTGATTGCTCTCAATTTACAGTATCAGTGGGTATACTCAATGGTCTATTG